GGTAGCAGCACGGAAAGTTGTGGAGAAGAAGAACCCGAGCTCGCAGTCGATGATGACGGAGTCGACGTTCCACCGCCTGACTATGACGAGGTACGTATAGCAATAACGCGGCTGAAAAACAACAAAGCTGCTGGAGCTGACAGCCTGGCAGCTGAGCTATGCAAGTACGGCGGCGAGGAGTTGATAAGGTGCATGCATCAACTGTTGTGCAGAATATGGTCAGATGAACGCATGCCCGACGACTGGAATTTAAGTGTGCTCTGCCCAATCCACAAGAAAGGTGACCCCGCCATTAGCGCCAACTACCGCGGGATCAGCCTTCTAAGCATAGGTTACAAGGTCTTATAGAGCGTATTGTATGAAAGACTGAAGCCCACCTTCAATGAACTGATTGGGCTTTATCAGTGTGGGTTTAGACCTGGCAAATCCACCATAGACCAGGTATTCACAATACGCCAAATCTTGGAAAAGACCCGCGAGAAAAGGATCGACACTCACCACCTTTTTGTCGACTTTTGACAGCACTAAAAGGAGGCAACTCCGCTATGTCTGAATTTGGCATCCCCTCAAAACTCATAATAATAATAATAATAGATTGGTTCTTACACATATGTTAGTGTTTGGCCGAGCCTCTCCTCCGACTTGTAGTCTGCGCCTTGATGTTGTCACACAAATCAGAGGGACCTACAGTTTTACGCCGACTCCGAACGGCGATTGTATTTTTATGAGAAGCTGTTTTTCATGGCAGAAGTACACTCGGAGATTTACCATTGCCTGCCGAGGGACGACCGCTGTTAAGAAAAAACCTTTTTCTATATTTTTTGCGATGTTGCTTTGACCAGGGCTTGAACCCAGGTGTTGATGAGTGAAAGCGCGCATCGCTTACCACTACACCACAGCGGCCGACGAAACAAAAACAAAACTCATACGGCTGTGTAAAATGACGTTGAGCAATACCACCAGCTCCGTCAGAATTGGGAAAGACCTCTCCGAGCCGTTCGCCACAAAATGGGGTTTCAGACAGGGCGACTCCCTTTCATGTGACTTCTTTAATCTGATGTTGGAGAAGATAATAAGAGCTGCAGAACTGAACCGTTCAGGAACAATTTACTACAAGAGCGTGCAATTGCTGGCTTATGCCGATGACATCGACATCATCGGTAACAAAAACCACGAAGTCTGTTCTGCCTTTTCCAAGTTGGATAGGGAAGCAAAGTGAATGGGTCTGGTGGTAAACGAGGACAAGACGAAGTATCTCCTGTTATCAAACAAACAGTCAGCACATTCGCGCCTAGGCACCCACGTCACTGTTGACAGTTACAATTTCGAGAAAGTAGAGAATATCGTTTACTTGGGATTAACACCGATAATAATGTCAGCATTGAAATCCAACGCAGAATCACTCTTGCCAACAAGTGCTACTTTGGACTGAGTAGGCAATTCAGGAGTAAAGTCCTCTCTCGACGTACGAAAACCACGCTCTATAAGTCACTCATAATGCCCGTGCTGGTATATGGCGCAGAAGCATGGACAATGACAACATCTGATGAGGCGGCTCTTGGAGTGTTTGAGAGAAAGATTTTGCGGAAGATTTACGGGCCTTTACGCGGCGAGTACCGCAGACGATGGAACGATGAGCTGTAGGAGCTTTACAACGCCATGGCCATAGTGCAGCGAATTAAAATACAGCGGCTCCGCTGGCTTGGCCATGTCGTTTGAATGGACAACGACTCTCCAGCTCTGTAAGTATTCAACTCGGAACCCGCTAGTGGTAGCAGAGGAAGAGGGAGGCCCCCACTGCGATGGAAAGATCAGGTGGAGAAGGACTTGGCTTCACTTGGCGTTTCCAATTGGCGTCAGTTGGCACAGAGGAGAAACGACTGGCGTGCTTTGCTGAACTCGGCCAAAATCGCTTAGGCGGTTACAGCGTCAAAAAAGAAGAAGAAGAAGTTGTGGACATTGAAATACAGACAGATAAAAGGGAGGTACCAGAGCGAAATTTCATTATGTGAATTCTTAATATCATTGGCTTCGTATTCGTGGTAAATATGTATAATATATAGTTTGGAAAATGTAACTTATGGTATCATAATCCGAAGCATTTTCCCGAACTTAAGAAAAATTGTCAAAATGGTAAAGAGCAACATTTGCGGAAAGAAATTTTTTTAAAGAGCTGTTGGGAAAATAAACTCTCATGAACGACGGTCATGAAGACCTAGTTATCAAATATGACTGCCAATTCATTTCTTGAGTCGAATTGAGTTCTAGAGGAATTCTTGGTGCAATGTTATCGAAGCAGAACCATTACGGCAGCGCGTAAAAGATTTATAGAAAGCGGAGAAGACTCTGCATGATATTATCATAA